CGTTGAGAAAGAGAGAGAGAAAAAATTCCATGAAAAAATATCAAGTCTTATACGTTTTATCGTTTCCGCTGTCGTAGCACGCGCGTTTACATATTGCAAAAACGCCGTTCCTTTACAGCACATGCCAAGAGCGTTACGCGCGCAATTAACTTTCGCGTAGCCGTGATTAAACCGTCGTCATGAGAGACAGTGGCGAAGGGGGATGAGAGGGAAGGGGGAAAGCGAGCGGGAGGTGAGGGTAAATAATTGTCTCTCCTCGGTAGCAGGGCGCGAAAATAGAAAATCCGATTGGCCGTGGCGAAAGAGAGCGGAACAAAAGCCTCATGCAGAATTCAGTGTCGGCCGCTCCTCTATAATCGGAGCGAGGTATCGACCGGTTAGCCGACCAGGCCAGGCCAGGCAGACAAGCAGGCAGGCAGGCAGGTACACCTGCTCGGCGTGCGAGGCTTTCCCTTAGCTGTAACGCTATTGTGCCGGCACGGCCTCTCGCCTTCGGGTGTTTCACCCCAGGCCACCTCGTTAATCTCGCCCACCACGACGTCGCCATCTTTACGCCCAGCGGCCCGGCCGAGAGATCGCGGTCGATACGAACGGCCGAACCTGCGAATAATGCGCCATTAGGACGGCCACTTCGCGTATGATTGGAAGGCGGATCGCCGGGAAGTTTAATAGATCATGCACGCGCGGTGAACGATCCCGTAATACGCGTGATTTGCGAAAACGGCCGACCCGAAAGCCGCATTACTCGAGATGCTGCGCATAGTGGCCGCGGTCCTTCTTTCAGGTCTGGATTAGGGAATCATCGAGGTCTAGCCTTTGCGGAAAAACTTGCAATTTTAATACTTGAAAATTAGATTCGTGTAATTTTATCGTTTTTTAAAATTCCACACAAAAAATTGTTAATGACTCCGAATTGCTAAATTTATTATCGAAGATACGTATAATTATTTAATCTTCTCTAAGGATTTAAAAAATAGTTAAACAATCGAAAGATGCATATTGACATAATATATTATAAAACATTTTTGGTTCACTTTTCATGTCTACACTGTTAGAAATTTCTTAATGACTTTTAATTAACGTGTAAAGGAAGCTTGGTTCAAGCCCGTCAATGAAAAATAATGAATGTTGCATATGAATATTCGTTTACTGATGTCTTAAATTTCATTAACATATGTGTTACTTTTAATGTATATACTTTTATTGAATTTAATATACATGTTCATTACTTTTACATGGGATACGTGTGTGTATATATATGTATATATATTTCACGCGTATCGCAGCGTCAGCTAAAAGTCACTGCAAATTACAAGCACATATAATACTTTCATATACATATAAAAATATAAGAATGTGAATTCATTAATGGAAGTATAATGTTGATTCTACAATGAGTCAGAAATCTCAAATCTTAACCAGCCTTAACCTAAATAGGTGACTATGATTTTTCCCATCTACAAGCTGTTAATTATACAGCAAGTCGTTTAGCTCGACTAATGGGAAGGAATAAAGTCGAATTTGACCAGACTTAAGAAAATCGGTTATAATCTTATTGTTAGTCGTACAAGTCGACTGTTGACCAACTTTACCGCGATTCATCGATAAGACCGACTACCGACTCATTATAGAATCAACATTATACTTACATTTTGATGTACTTATATTCTTATATTCACAATATGCACTAATAAACATAGCACTTTCCACGGCAATCATAATTTCGATACAAGCGGGTGTCCAGAATAGTCTAGAAATCAGTAAAAACAGTTGATGGGTTTGTTTCGCACAATCGCCGCGGAAAGCGCCAAAATGAACATGTACATTAAAGTTTACATTTAATTTACAGTGAATTGAAATATTATTTATCTCCGTATATTAAAAGTATATTAAATTTCAAAAATACATTTATATATATTTTAATTTACTTGAATTTAATTTCATTAACATATACATTAAATATCGTTTCAGTTACAAGTGATTTAAATATCATTTACCATTGTATATTAAAAGTTCATGAAATTTCATGACATTTTTAACAGTGTAATTTTCCGGGAAATGCACACCGATTTTACGGCATCGAATAATTAATTCGGAACTGATGCCAAAATCTGTAGCACAGTAAAGCCCGATCCATAATTGTGTAAATGTAGTTGTAGTTGTAAGAATTGACCAATCACGCTTGAATACGAGGAGAATGTCTGACTGTGATTAATGAATTTTTACAAATACGACCACTTACAACTACGTTTACGCAATTGTAGATCAGGCTTTACACTAACTCGGTTTGTAAGATCAATTTATGGTAACTTGTGTTAAAAACACTAATTAACTTCAAGAAAAAGTCAAAATGTTGTAACTCGTATAAAAGAAGAATACTAGTATATCTTAATAGGAATAATTCCGATTTGCAATATAAAGAAAATCTAATTCTTTGATATTTTTAACAAAATGATTTATAATTGAATAGGTTCAATAGACTCATCATCAACTCCGAAGGATTAAGATTTTAATGCATCCTTACTCAAATCGAATGAAAATTTTAATGCGTTCACCATCGTATCAACGACAAAATTCCTGTGTTCTCACGATAGATAAAAATTAGAAAATTAGAAAAAATAGAAAATGGTTGTACTCACTGAATAAATACCAGGAAGGAGCGAAATCGCATTATTAGTGCGACGGATGTGACATCATAAAAGTGAATCAAATGCGACTATTGATACTCGATATCCACGAATTGAATCAAATTTTATTATGTATCATATATCTCGTCGAATATATAGATTAGCACTTGATTCTATACGACTTCTTTCGAAAGAAAATTAAAATAGTCAATTACTGCCTATATATACAGAAGAACACATATTGTACGAAATAATAATTACTTATTTCAAGAATATCAAATGTCAATTTTAATCAGTCATATATCTGCAAATTAATTATAAATTCATCATATAAGCATCAAATTTATTCACAATATATTCAGAATAATAAATCCAATCAAGATTATTAAATTAAAACAAATATTCAATTTGCTTATTATATGAAAAGGAAATTTGGAGAAAACAGAGCAATAGGAGTCAGAGTCGCGGTAATCGTTGCACAAATAATATACCGGTTTCACAAAAACTTCTTTATTAAAATAACGCGCTCACATGTTTCAGTTTATTTTTTAGCCCTCTTCAGAGACAAATCACCCTAATATGTACAATGTGTTCGTAATAACTACCTTATCATGGTGAGCTTCACTACACTAAAGTCTCTATACAAGTATTACACACAGATGAATGTTAAAAGGAAAAGAGAAGAATTATTGGAACTATCTGAAATAAGATTTTGGAAAACGTTTATAAATTTAAATTACAATGAAAGTAAAGAAGCTCACCACGAGCATAATACACCATATCGCAAACACTACATAACAATTATTAATTCAAAAACCAGTTTTTAACTTGTTGGCCAGTCAGTGTCAGATGAAGTATGTTACTTTTAAATTTAGTTAAAAATCTTTAAATTTAAAACTCTAAAGTTAACTTATTGTTAAATTCGAAAAGCACAAAGAATCAGAAAATGATCGAAAGTCAAGATAGAAAGACTTCGTTACTATGCAAGAACGACACTGATTGTCATCCTTTCTTACTTTCATTGTAGTTTAAATTTATAAACGTTTTCCAAAATCTTATCTCAGATAATTCCAATAATTCTTCTCTTTTCCTTTTAACATTCATCTGTGTGTAATTCTTGCATAGAGACTTTAATGTAGTGGAGTTCACCATGAGGTAGTTATTATGCACACATTGTACATATTAGGATGATTTGTTTCTGAAGAGGACTTAAAAATAAGATGAAACATGTAAGCGCGTTATTTTAATAAAGAGGTTTTTGTGAAACCGGTATATTATTTGCTCAACGATTACCGCGCCTGATTCCTATTGCCCTGTTTTCTCCAAATTTTCTTTGAATAGTAAGGAATCCTTGTAGATTGAGTTATAATTTATTATATGAAGTTGCATTTTCGATCAATTTTATAATGATCTTCAAAAGAAAATAAATTCTTGTTCTGAGTGCCTATAACAATAAGTTTCTTTAAAATTTGTAATAAGTATATTTTAAAATTATTATCAAGAAAATATTCTTTATTAAAGATAACGTTACTTACAAGAAATTGAATAATCATTTTTCGTAGCAATATAGAATGATATTTTTTTATGTGTACGGTTTTTCTAAAACCGAAACATTTCATATGTAATAAATAAATTCTTGTATTTCCAGTGACTTCGTTATACGTTATAAAATTAACGCAACCTTTTCTGATAATCTTTATTCAATGATTGCATCTAATGAGAAGACGAGATTTGGGTACCCGATACTTCACGCCCCGATCGTATTATTTTCGCGTACGAGAATACTTTATTATTCTCGGCGGCATTGCGCGCGCGAAACGTAGCGTTCCCAAATTAGAGATCGTTTTTTGCCCGCGTCACCACGACCTGCTAAGCGGGGAAGCGGCGGTGCGACCACACCTGAAGATGTTCCAAGAGACCGATCGCTCTCGCGGGCGCGACACGATGCGTAACGTTGTTGAGACACAGATTTTCGAGCGGCACGTGGGTGTCGCCGCCGCGCGTGGGCCGCCATTTTTTCGGGACTCGCTCGCGCGGCCCCTCTTACATGCACGTCCCGTTCTGTATTCGTTTCTTTCTTGCCTATACACGGTGTCCCACATCGACCGAAAATTATTGTCACATATTTAGTACTTATTGTTCCTTCTTAATCCGCGATATTAAATTTCTTGATAAATAAAGGTAGATTGAGATTTCTGCACTCAACCGAAAACTAGGTTTCGTTATCCATTTATATCCATGAAAATCTAATTAAAATCAGTAAAAATCATTTATCAGAATAAAAAATTTAATAACTTAATCTTGTAAGAAATTTTCACTGAGGAAACGTTGGCTTGAAATTCCTCGAAGTGCTTGTTTTGAAAATACTGTCACATATTTCTGACGCATCATGTATATAATGAAAGATAAGAAACGACATTCGTCGATTTTCTTGTTTTCCCGAAGTCCAAAATAAAAATGTCCTCGGAATTTCACAAAATTTAATCGAAGAAGATAATCGAGCGCAAGTATATTCCAGCCAGTTTTAGCCGCGGTTATGTAACTTCATAAAACTGATGTTACTTAAGTGACGTTGGACAAAGGCGGAGAGGCGTAAAAAGAAGTCCCGGGATTCGAGCGGACAAGAGCGCGAGAGCGGAAGTCGAGAATGTGGGGCGGTGATGGGCCGCTTCCGGTGGTCCCCGGTGTACAGCTCGTGAACCAAGTCAGTCGGACTGTGACTGTCTGTCGGCGAAACCGCAGACAGCCCGTCTGTCTCATCATTCCATTAAACGATACGATGCTCGGTTGTATGCCGGTACCAATGGAGGAAGCCCGTGTCTTAACGGTGAAATAGCCTTGGAAACCAGGCTTTACGATGGTATCGAAGACCAAGCGTCACTCGCGGTAATTAAAACGATGCGATTCGATACTTACCGGATTACTCACCGGAACACGTCTTTCGTGATTATATAATGAACCGTTGCACATTAAAAGTGAAAAAAAGAATGCTCGAGTAACAGATACGCGTGCATTATGTAATTCTGGTTTCTACTCCAAGCTTGATTCAGGGCATCGATCATGTAACTTTTTCTGTAGAGCGAAAACATGAAAAATGAACATTTTTATGTACATATATTATGTATATATACACATATACATACCAAAATATTTTACTTTTCACGTTTTCGCCCTAAGGAAAAAGTTACGATTGTTAAATCGGAAAAAGTTATGATTGATTCCCAGATGTTAAGCGAAGTTGTCGAAAGCGGACGATTAAATAATGCCCATGTAGATTCCATTTCTTGTAGATTTTCACTAGTAAATTAACTTTAACCCTCTGCAACATGAATTTTAACTCTTTCGTCAATAAAGAGATCTTCGAGGAATAGAGTTTTTTTGATTGTTCCGATTATATAAAAATCTGAAAAAATTCCGGTATACTTGTCAAAGCTTTAATGAGTTTTTACATAATAGATATTAGATTATATTTTACTTATCTTTACAGATTTAAATCAAAATTTACAATCGAAACATCGATAGTGCTTTTAAAGACACCACTTGCTGACAAAGGATTAATCTCGGTTCAACTTATTCGTCATCTTTTTCTAGTTTTAAGTAGGAATGCACCAGATATCCGAAAAGTATCCGGTATCCGGTATTATCCGGCACTTTTTTACTATTCGACCGAATAGTCGGATATCATTAGTATCCGGGAATATATTCGATTGAAATTTTATATCATTAAATTGTTGATTTTTTATTATATAAATGTTCTATAAATAAGTATGCATACTCATAATGCTATAATATCTTATACATATATTGCGGTAAAATCATAATTTTTTTTTTACAATCATTATCTCTATTGATACAATCCTTTCTGCTCCCTTTTTTTTACTCAACTTCCTTTTTAGACATTATCTCGGAATCCGGTCGAATATTCGGAAAATATCGAATATCCAACTCGAAAAATTGCCTTCCCGGATATCCGATATCCGATAATTTTACGATACATCTCTAGTTCTGCATCCCTAGTTTTAAGAATTAGAAAAAATGAAGAGTAAGTTTAATCGAGATTAAAGAAGTAAAATTATAATTGTATGATTGGTACGAAAGACGAACACTGACCAAAGTCAATGTTCGTCTGTCATCAAGGCCTAAAATTTTAATTTTACTTCTTAACCAAGATTTATAACTAACTTTATTCTGACATAATTTACTCTCTAACTTTGTTTTAACGATATATTTATACATAATCACACGGAAAAAATAATGGACGAGCATTTGCGATACATAACGAAGAGGCCTTTTGGAACATTAAAAAATTTCCAACAATCGATCGTTCAACCGTTTGCGAACAATTTCTCTCGATGAAACATTCATCCGGCTTCATCCAATGGTTGTATATCACTATTCGTTTATATCATTGCGTTTCTAATTAATTGTACTACGGCGCGGGCGGTTAATCGAATATCTAAAGATGGTTCAATCAGGAAGCCGAAACATGTAATATTAATTTATATATATTTTTCATTTATATGTGAATTTTAGAGCTCAATACATTTTATGTAATAATTTCGTTATATTGAGTGATTTTATGATTGACTCTTACATTCCCTTTCTTATCGTTATATTGTTTCCTCTTTATTCTTTTCTAATTCTTAAAACTAAAAAAAGATAAAAAGTAAGTTAAGATGAAAGTTAATCTACATTGATAGAAACCATAAACAACCAAATTAAATTTTACTCAGATACATACATCGACGAAAAAAGTAAATGTAGAACATGGGAAGGGATAAAATTGCGAATGAAGCAGCGCGAAGGGAAATGACGGAAATCGTGGAGTTACAGGGCTGGAAAGAGAGCGGGGCTCGTTGCATGGGGGGGCACCGTGATCACTTAACTCTCTCGTTCACTCGCGTGCACTTCGTTTCGGCTTTCCGGTATGCATGCGCGCGTGTCCGTCCGTCCGTCCGTTCGTGTTTGCGTTCGTCACGCGCGCGCTCGTACGCGGACGCATCGCTGGCTCCAACCATGAGAAGATGAGGGCTGAGCGCAAGAAAAAAATGGGAGAAAAAAAAGAAAAGAGGGAAATCGCGCGCGCGAGCTGTGGTAGAGAGCGAGAGGAGAAGGAGAAAACGAAAAAGGAAGGAGCGCGGACAAGATAAGCGAGTGAACGCGGAAGCTAGAAAAAGAACGACAGGCTGCGAGAACCTCCCTGACTCGCATACATAAAAGCTAAGGTAATTATAAGCGTCCCCGTCTTTCCTCTTATCTTCCCTCCCTCTCCGTTTATCTTTTCCTTCGCTCTCTTCGTCTCGTTCGCTGCTTCACAATGGGGGAGCCGCTGCCGAAAGATAGAGAGAGAGAGAGAGAAAGAGAAAGAAGGAGCGAGAAAGAGAGAGGGAAAGACGACCGCCGGGTGCCACTCATAGGAGCGTAACAATGGCTTTCCATGCCGGCTCAACCAACCAGACGACCGAGTGACGATCATGACGAATCGTTCCCGTGGGATTAGTGGGATCGGCTGGTGGGTTTTCTCTTCGATCTTCTTCCGGAGCCATCTCCCGTCTATCATTAATCGACTCTCTCGTTTCACTAAGAATCGCACAGATATTCGGCAAGTGATCTCACTTCACTTGCCAAATATCTTCGCTGAATCGCTTTTTCTTACAACAGATTATTTTCTGATTGAAATTTCGCCGATTTCGCTGACTATATCGAATTATTCTCGAATTATAACTGGATTTATCGAGTTTTTAATTTCGTCTTTATAATAAAATAATAGAAGTTCAACGTATTTTAACGCATTGCGGCATTTATAGAAGTGAAGCAAATTACAATTTAGCAGATATGCTAAAAAATAAGTGGATTATTGTAGGTATTTTGTATATTATATGTTATGAAAATATCGCTTATACAATTGTATATATATAATTCTACTATTATTATTATATCTTACAATTGTTAGCATTATGCTTTTATACAAGATATTCGTGAACTGATGATACAACTGGAAAGAGAATGATTCTACATGAAAAAATAAATCGAAAACGTAGAATAAAATTGTTTCAAAAATATGAAACTTTATTTTCGAAAAAGTCGACTTTAAATATTCGCCAAGTGGATTTAATTAACAAAAACAGAATACGTTAGAAAGTGTTCATAGAAATTTATTTCGCAGAGCAGAATTGTATATTCGATAAAATGGGCAATCTTTTCAACCATTTATAAAGTAATGAAATTTATCGTGCGTGAATACTCCGTTTTTATTGTGTATCTTTAATTACCCAGTACGGTAATAAACACAAACATGAACAGAGATAATAGTCTACAGCGAGATCCATTAAGTAGAACCATAGTCAAGTACACGTATCCGGCGAATATTTAACCCTCAACTACAGTTATGAAAACTACACCTAAAGTGTCTTATTTGAAGTACAGAATACAAATGAACGTCAACCTTACGGTGATTGATAGAGGAAGGTTTAATTTTTTATCTACAATTTGGAACCTCATAGTACTAATCGTCAAAATTTTCGCTTCAGATCCAAATGACCCGCTGTTATAATCGAGAATTAAAATCGATCTTCTCGGAAACAAAACCTCATATGAAAAATTTTTATTCTACGTTTTCGACTTATTTTTATATTTAGAATCACCCCTTCTGGTTGTACCAACATGAACACCCTGTAGGAAGTCCAATGTAATTTTTTTGAACATGCAGACATTGAATCTGTACGGATGTGTCAAGAAGCAGGCACTCCAAAAACAATTCTCTATCGCAATTTCAATCTTCCACGATAGGCAATTGTGTCTGAAACTCCCACTCAAGAGACTTCTTCTTAGCATCGCAATAGTTTCTTCATAAAGTTGATTGATTCTCTTCTTGATTTGAACATCTCTTCCCGTCCAATTCTCGTTATTCAGCCTTGAGAATAGTAAAACTCATATGAATTCTAACGGAAATGCGCTAACTCTAAAAGTATAGTAATTAACACAGTGTCATATGCAATTGACACATCTGCATTCTCTTAGAGGCGATGGCATTGGCATATAATTAAGAAACTTACTTAATTCACACTATCAATACCTTGCTCGGCTCTCAACGGTTTTTTTTACCTTATTTTTGATATATTTCATTAGAGCCTTTACATTTGATTAATTATTTATATCACGCAGCCTAAAAAATGCGTCACACAGGTCGGAAACATTCGTTCTTTAATTATATTAGTAAAGTATTTGACTTATATATCGTTTGTATTCTATTACTGAAGAGAACTCTAACTGTGGGTCGAAACGTTTAACATAATATTCAATAAATTAGATATTCGCAACAATATCCTGCGTCGGCTCTCAACGGGTTTTTTATCTTATTTTTAATTCACACTATCTATGAATGAATGAATACGAACGTGAATTAAAAATAGAGTTCTCGCCTCCAGATGTTGTTCCGATATAGGCATCGTTGTACATGTAGATGTATGTGACGAAGCATCAAAGATCAATATCGCCATTTATCAAATGAAATATCGATTAACAAAAACAACTTTATATTACTTAAGCAATTATATATGCGATCCATCATGTAGCTTCGTTTATCATAAAGCATATCAGGATATATTTTATTTAGGCACAATTTAGCATTTCAATTGATCTTCAAGGCAGAATGCAATCGTATAGCATTCCTTAGGCATCTATATCTACTTAGAATTTACAATAAAATAGTTCGGAATGTCTTTTGAACAACGCAACTGTTGTTTTCATATTTCGCATATATATAAAAGACACGAAAAACACGAAACTCCAAACTTTCGCAAGGTGTCTGAAAGTGGAAGATATGGCCGTAAAGTTTCTGTATATGCGGAAAAAAATACAATTGCATATTTGTAGATTATTTGTAGATTTTAGACCATCGCGTGAGATGGTAGATCGCTGCGGCGCTAAAGTGCTCTAAATGAAAAGATCCTTCGCGAAACGAGCGCAAATCTTATTTCAGACGAATCTCTTCGAAATATTTCGTCGATCTTCTGAAATTAAAAAATATGACCTTTTCCAAGTTAAAAAAGTCGCTCGCGCAAATACTCTGCATAATAAAACTGTGCGACAACAAAATGCGTTTATTCTAAAATGTGTGTGAATTAATGATTCTAAAATATTTCCTCGATCTTCTTTTCATTAACAAAAATTATTTTCAACTTTAAATCAGAAAAGTCGCTTGAAAAAATTCTGTATAATAAATTCATAAAAAAAATTAAGTCCTTTATTCCAAAACGAAATATCTCCTCGATCTTTTTAAATTAAAAACAGAATTAAGTATCTTAGCTCCAAGTCAGAAAGGCAAAGTGATTCAAAGCACTCTGCATAATAAAGCTATACAGATCGACTTAAGAGAAAGACTATGACATGCCCAGATCCAGCTAATGAGCCATAAAAGATCTTTAAATTCGCCATCAACAAGATCAGTGGGCTGATTAAAGTATTTCGTACGCAAACGCGATTCTCTGTGACGCGCTAAAAAGCGCTGCTAAAAATAAAAGTACAAAGTTCGGGCCTCGGCACGTTTTAAGCGGCTCGACTAACTTTCTTCGTGCGGTCGCTCGCAGACCTCGCATATCTAATGAGAGGTCATTACACACACGAATATTAGTCGCGAGTCCCCACGGGTTCTTCACGTTTAGATATTCGTGTTACGGACCTCCAATGCTCGGCTCTGTCATCGTTCGCTCTGCACGTCGGCTCTCGGCCCATGAATCCTGCAACAAACGGAGCTCATCGCATCGCGTCGTACGCGGTGAAAGCGAGGGAGACGATCGGGCGGATGAGTGAGACGGAAACAAGAGTTTCTTTATCGTGGCTGATGAAGTGCCGGTCGAAGAAAAAGCACCGGAGAGAAAGAGAGAGAGAGAATGTGTGTGTGCATGTATGTGCAAATGCGTTCGTTTACGAAAGAGCGTAACATAAAAATGGTAGGCTGTGAAAGATAGAAATATGGAGTAACATTCACGAAAAGAAGAGTATAATTTGGAAAGTACCAAAAAAAAGGAAAAATATAATAATATTTCACAATTTTATTCGAGACATTTCGTTAAAATAAAGCCAAAGTTAATCGCAGCAGAGAGTATGAGAGAAAGATGGGAAGAGATAGCTGTAGTTTATTAATAGCCTAAGAGTTTGATGACATAAATAGAGCTACGTATATAATAAGAGTATACACAAATAGTTACATGTATCATGCGACAGCAAAGTAATCGAGAGATGACTCCATTACGCAAGAAACCAATTATTGCACATTACTCATATAAACAAAGAAACAAAGCGCAGATTTTGTTCATCGACAGTTCTTTGATGTAACTGCAGACAATGATACCATATGACAAACGAAATTAATTATTCGGGCATTTTGAATAATTCACATACATTTCGCGCAATTTTCCTACGTAAAAGACTGTACGGAAGACATATTACGAAGTTCATCTGCAAGATTATTCCAAAGCCTCCGCGCGCAACATATATAAACGAAGAAGAGAAAAAGAGAGAAACTCTTACGTATAGCGAAATGTAGGAACGAGAAGGAGCGAGACGGACGGGGAAAGAGACGCGGACTAGAGAAGGAAACTGACAAAGCGGTGAGGAAGAGAGAGAAAGAGAGAAAGAGACGGCCAATACGAGCAAAGTGAAACAGAGGAGCGAACGTAATACGAGAGAGAGCCGAGAGGGCTGGCAAAAGAGCCGAAGGTCTCGCGCTCTCTTGGCGTAGCTGCAGACAGATAATACACCGAGTCGCGCGCGCGCGCGCGCGCCGTGACGTGTCTGTATGTGTACGTGCGCGCGCATCTCTGTGTACGTGCCTGTATATGAGAGCGCCGACGTTACCCGCTGACGCTTAGAGGCTCGTGGAATATCGTAAAGCTGCCTGCCTGCCTGCTCTCCTCTTGCGCCGCTCTTGCACGACGCGTCGCGCGTTGTTGCCTAAACTTCCCGCGCTGTACTTTCACGTATGTGATACAGTATCGATACTCACCCCTTTACGCGTCTACAATAGAAGTCGTAGCGGCCGTAGACGGTAGAGTCTTAAGTCGTAGAAAATTAACCAATCACAGTCGAATATGAGAAGAATGATCGACTATGATTGGTCAATTTTCTACGACTTAAGACCCTACGACCGTTACGACTTCTATTGTAAACCCCGCATTAGAGTTCCACTGACGATAAAGATATTTGCGAAAGTGTAAACGAGATGGAAATTTGCGAAACATGTATGATTAGACTCGTTTCGAAAAGAATAAGGATGTAAAATTCTTGAATGAAATCTACGTAACGACTGTAAAATATCTTTAAAATACATTGTATGTATAATTGAGTAATCAAATGTAATCTTATTTGTAAAATTAGATGTTTAAGCATCTAATACGTAGTATTGTAGTAATTGAGATATGCCTAAGCAAAACTCTAGTCATCATGGCATTAAAATGACATCAAAATAATTACTAAAACTTTTCAATTAATAATTCATTTTAACGTTATCGTGACCTGTTGTTCTGCTTGAGTGAATTCCTCTATCGTTTCCGCACTATTGCAAAACTATGATAAAGCCATCACGGTTAAAAATTCCCTTGTCAGGGAATATGTCACCAAATATGTGAACGTCAAAGAGCTGTTGGTCTAATAAGAGAATCAAATTCCCCTTTTCAAATTCTCCTTAAGAGTTATCTTAGAAATGTCATTTATATCTGAATTTGGCAAATGTGTCATTTTGGCAAGCGAATTTTCGCGAGAAGTTTCGCGCGGTCGAGAAAGTCCTTGAATCTGCACCAAACGCAACAACGAGCGACGACCGTGGCCGCTCCGTTAGAATTCCGCTAGCCAGAGAGAGATGCGAGAAAGAAAGAGAGAGAGAGAGAGAGAGAGGGGAGAGAGCGTTCATGTGTATGTGCGAAATAGAACGAGAGCAACGAGCGAACCACCGCTGCGCGGCACCGACGAGAGGGATCCGACAAGATGAGGAGATGAAGGAGGAAGAGGAGGAAATGGGAGGGGGGGAAGCGGGAGGTAGGGGAGGTTAGACCTTATTACGCCGCGCACCTCGTGGCTTACGATGCAGCCGAGAGAGCCGGGACCGAAGTCACGATCGAAGCGGAGACGTCTGGAAAACACGACGGTATATCGATCACGATCGCTGGATAGAGAACGAAAAAGGACGTCGTTCCATGAAACGAAACGATGCACAGATGTAAACGTTAAGCGATTTCGAGCAATTCGATGCCTTCATCCAACATGTGCTTCGTCAGCGATGGAAAGATCGCGCGGAAAATCCACCATGTGATATTAGCTCGCAAATTTATTGCACCAGTTGATTGTGAGATAAAAATCATCTGAAGTAAAACACGCGTCATCGGTCTCTTTCCTTAATACTTTACTCTGACAAAGAAGTCGCGATTTAAATGATTTTCCCAGAAAATTAAATTTGGTATTCTATGTTCGGCAGACAACGCGAAAATAGAACGCGCGAGATATTTAAAGAACAGATATTTCGACGCGTATATGGTAGCCGCATAAATTATGCGTAAATGCTATCACTCGTACTACTTTCTGAACTACAATCGGTTGAAAACTATGATACCTATTGGTTGCAAATTTCAAGAATCAGATGTATAGCGTGTGACCAAGTAATTATATTCATAAACTTTTAGATTGATATTCAAAGTTTCCTACTGTATGTTGTTAAATTTTACATCTCATTATAATTCATGACACGATGGTAAATTAATTTCAAGGTACTTTTCATACACAACGGCGCGACTATGTATTTGCACCAGCGGAAGGAAGCAACCTCGCAGTGAGAACTTTATACTCGGATCGCAGGAAGCTCTACATTAACGAGCAAGGTCGACCAATGCAACCAAGTCTCGTATAAACGGCGAATGATACAGCGAGAACAAATCATAATCCAATAAAGTGTGATTTTTAATAGCGAATAGGGAGGCGTGGAGAAATTGACGGTGGCGTAAAAGTTTAGGAAAGGGGAGTCCGAGGAGAAACCGAGTGGAACGAGAGGCACGAGATTCGAATGCACGAGAAGTAGAGAGAAAACGAGTGAGGGAGAGAGATGGAGAAAGAAAAAGAAGAGCAGAAAGAGGGAGAGAGAGCGCGAGAGTGATAGCAGACGATCTCGTTGTCAGTAGCACTCCCCGTAGAATACGTAGGACCTCGAACTCGTCCATGGATCGATACTTGGGTTCCTGGTGGACTCGCGCGAAGGGGGGCTTCAGCAGGGAGTTCGGGGTGGAAGAAGCAACGAGGAGGGAGGAAGGCGAGGGGATTGGAGGCGAGGGGATTGGGGGTGAGTGCCGAGGAGAACGAGAGAGCGGCGGTGTTTGTGCGGTGCGGGGGTGGCTTAGCACGCGGGGACGCCTCGGGGGTGTTTCTATGGTGACGGGAATTACTGGCAGGGGTAGCCTAGCGCACGAGGGGGAGCCCTCGTCTTCTCTCTCTCTCTCTCTCTCTCTCTCTCTCTCTCTCTCCCCCCTTCCTCTCGGATTTGACTTTCCTCTCTTTCTCGTTGTGATAAACTTCTGATTTTGCAACGCTGATTCCGTCGCTGGTCCTCGAAAGAGTTCCCCTTTTTTTTCTTTTTACCGGTAGAAAAGAGTGGATGACACAACACGCCGACCAACTGAGAGCTCTTCTGCTATCGAGGGAATATTCAGAAAATTTGACTTGTAGGTGCGATAATAGGAATTGGTTATAAATGAATACAACCGCAATTTCTTTATTATTTAGATTTAAGTGACAATTTAAAGACATGATTATTTTTTTTTATAAATTGCCTATTCAATTTAAGAGTATCGAACGTTTTTCTTTCTGTTACTAATATTAATCTTCCTATTTATATGTATACCAAATAATTTTGATTCCTCACTGTTGTAATTTATAAAATTGCCGTAACTTGCATTCTTTAGATGTTTTTAAATGTATAAAGTTTTACAAGTTATAAGTTTTTGTGAGAAGAATTCAAACGTTTTTCTATAAAAATATCAAAGAACTTCTGCTATATCACTGGTGATTTTGCTGGAATAACGTAATTAACCATCAGGGGGTCGCCTCAACAACACGTTGAAATTATAGGGCAGTTAGTCGAATGATGAGAGAGATTACGTAATCCACAGTAATTATCCTATTTCCGAGGATGTAAAAATGTTAGCGTCAGATCATAAACTTCAAGCATTAATTTCTCCGAAGCACAACACATTCGCTAAAGTCGACTACGCGCAGATATCCGTTTTTGCGCGATTAATGCATATCTCGTTCTCATTGTAGAGATACATTTTTCCGAGATAAAGTATATACGGAGACGTAGGATACAAGAATTTCGACGTAGGAGTTCATCCAACGCGTGTATAATGTCTTAAAGAAAGGAGACAACGAGAAATCGCCATCAAAAGAGATCATTTGCAACTAGGATTGTGCGAATATCGATCTAGAACGATAAGAATATGAATCATCCGATCCTCCCGTCTATTTTTAATCTTCGCTCATACACACTGAACAAGCCACACTTTATTCAGTTAGAATGGCTCCGATGAAAAAACGTACGTGCTTCGTGAACAGTTTATTATTTATAATACTCATTGCTAACGAGCAAACGTGATCACTGTGACCTGTTAACTTGGAACCAACTCTGTAACGTGCCATCAAAGTCGAGGTGAAAACAACAATGTCGGTTTATTGCATTTTTCGATTTATTGTCATTAATAACGCATATTCTCTATGAGGATATCCAACGAATTTGTTCTCCATCACGGAGATCCAAGGAATCTCCGAGAATTATGAGAGATTCTTTGTAACATGACATTATTTCCTGCGTTTAAAATGGCGTGTATTAGATATTGAAAGCAAGAAGAGAGGGGAGGAAAATTAAAAGAATAGACGTGTGATATTAATAAAATGTTTTACTTTAGCGTATTTGGGTATTTACTGTATTTAAATCTATTTTATAATTAGTTCCGGTTTAATATTTCGTTAAATTCCTATACTATATTTAAATATTTTTTACCACTTTAGCTAGGAAAAAATATTTCAAAGGCTAGGATGTCCCAAGGGTATAATTACGAAGTTGCGTTGCGAAGCGAATAAAAACATGTGAGAAGCAGTGTTTTAATGGAACGCGCAAATTTGTTGCATCAGCTCACTCATATTTTCATATTCATGTGACACGATATATGGAAAGGACATGAATGTAGAAGAATTTTTCTAGTCAATATGTTTCTCGGGTTGTCTCATAACTCATTCGCGTGCGTTCTTTCTTTTTTCTCTTCTCTTTAGTTATTGAACTTCGTGATTACCACGAAAGATTATTACAATTATTAAAAACGAGTTCACGTATATTTTTATAAAAACACTGTTAATACGTTATTATCAATAAGCCGAAAACAAAAAGACTATCGATGTAATAGACGCAACAATCACAGAAGCTTGCTAACAAGAAACGCTGTTTATAAAACGCGCAAATTTCATATATTATTATACATATATGTCAATAAAAAGCATATGCTTCAAAATTAATTATTAATATCATTTAATTTTATCTCTCATTTAATTAAACGTACGTCTCTTATATTGTTAGCGACATATTTCGCGGCAGATAGATTAATTAATTCTCACACTCACAAAATTCTCGCGAAATACTGATACAGCGAAATGCTTGTTAAAAATTTTTGCTTATTCAGAAATCGTACTTTTTACGCCGTCAATTTATTGATCTTCGGACAACGCCTAGCAATGAACGTTGCCGCTAATTCTCGCGTTTTCCAGAAACATTTCTCCGGAAATACGGAGGCTCGATTACGAGAATTGTCAAATTTCGATGCGTAACTCCAGGAGGGAGGAAAGAATCGGATCAATGATCTCACCTAAGTATCTCATCGATACTGAGGCCGAGGTCGTCGGGTCTCGCGCCGTGGAAAGTTCCACTCACTCGAGAGAGGCAGGCAACATGCGCAGCGTGGTGCGCGATTTCGACTCCTCGCGCGCAGACGAAAAACCGCTAATTTATATCTCGGCTTCCAGACACGATAGCGACTTCGCTCCTTTTGCATACGATTCTACACCATTTCGCAGCTCTACCATTCAAATCTCATCCCGATCGCACCGACGGAAGCCGAGTTATAGCGGACGCGCGGAATCCGTCTTTCGGGCTAATGTACGCGATAGATTTCGACATTTCTCAGAAATCATCAACTTTTTGAACGCAGATGGAGATGATAACTACTGAAGACACTATTGACAACTTGCTAACATACAAATATTACCTGCAGATGTCTCTTTTAAATATCGAACGTTACGTTATGCTTGAATTCGAGCATATACATGGAAAAAAATCAAAGTGTACGTAGGATTCTCTATTCGTACATTATCATTCAATATTTGATATCTACGCAAACGCGCGTCAAGCATCATCATTCTTGAAAGAATTCGATTTTTTGGATGATTTTTTGTTTCTCAAATT